TGAGAGCACAGAGCAGCAGCTCCACACCAAATCTCCAGCCCCAGGCTCTGCTGCAGCTCCTGCACCAGGGCAGGGCAGAGTGGCACCTGCAGAATAAGGAACTGTGTGTGTTTCAGCAATGATTTCCAGTGGAAATTGCAGCTCCAGCCCAGCTGAGGGTCAGCTCCAGTTCACACTTCCCACATCAATCCGTGCACGTTCAAAGGAAATTCATTTATAGCCCCTCTTCAGCTATGGCAATTGGAGCTTCATAAAAACATTCAATGTCTTTTCTGTTTAAAGAAGTGCAGATAACTAAGGGAATGTCACACTCTTTCTTTTTTTGGAGACTCACACAAGTAGGATTTCTTCCAGGAATCTCATCTGTACACAGTACATTTACAACAGTTAAGTAAGTAAAAAAACCTTCTTTTGCATAAACATTATTAAAAAGAAACACTAATGAATGCAATCTTCAGTCTTCACATCTGGAAAAGCAGATTTAGAGGACTTTTGAATGGAGCTGGAGGCATGAAGGGGCAGAGAAATGCTGCACTTGAAAAAAACCCCAAACACACCCAAACCACTGCATTTAAAGTGGACACAGAAAGCCAGAATAAAAAAACTCCACTGAAATCTTAGACCATAACTGCCATCCAACCTCAAACCACTGACCTCAGGTGCTAAATAATTCTGCTTGGTATGGAAAACAGCAGAAGAAGAATCAGCCTTCACACCTTCCAGTGATCAAATGAATACTTTAATGACCTAGAGGCACCATGGCATTTAACACGTGAAATAACTGCAGGTAAACACTCACAGGAACTTGAGTGTGCTGCACTACCTTCCTCTGGAGCTCCTTCCAACTCCAGCACTGCACTTTTTTCCATCTAATAACCTGGGAATTTTATTTTCTTTAAATCACCTCCTTTGCACTCCTTTTAAACCATCTCCTTTGCACTTTTACTCCACACTCCAATTCCAAGCATCACTCCCTCCGTTTCTCTGCTGCCTCGGCCCCTCACCCTTTCCAGGGCTCTCCCATCTCCAGCTCCATCTTCCAGCCAGCTTTTCCCACCACTCCTGTCAACAGAGGCAGTGCTGGTGTCCCCAGGATGTCTCTGCTCCTCCTGTCCCACCATCCTCAGTCCCAGATTCCCCCTCTGCCTCCAAGCAGAGATTTCCCAGCACACAAACCCCAGCTCAGCTGGGAAGGGGCTGTTTTTAGGAGCACATTGCTCAGGCAGGGCTATTTTCACAGCAGCAGCAGGTTAGCAGTGTTTAGTGACAGAACACACTCGCATTGAGGCACTGCTGCCAAACCCCCCTCTGTGCACACACCCCCACTTTGTGCACAGCAGCTCTGCTCCATTTCAAGGGCCTGAGGTGCAAAGAAAATCCCCCGCCCTCCAGAGCAGGGCCTTGCTGCTGCCACCAGATGCAAGGGATTAAATGTAGCCTTGGCAACATGACTTTCTACAACCTGAAGCACCTGTGGTGAGGGAAAAAGCAGGGTGGATTCATTCTGCCACTGGATAGACAGGCTTGAGTTTCACACTGAATTTTCTTGGAGTCATCTGTTCATATCTAAGCAGTCAATCTTGCTTCTAGAGATCTCTCCTCACATTGATTAAGCATGAAATTTGTGTTTACAAGAGTTTTACATCTGCCCACAGAGGACAGAGCTGCTCTAAGAAGCTCAGAATGACACTTCTCAAAAAATGGTACCAGAAAGGAGATCCCCAAGCCTGGCCAAAGGTGTCAGGCTCAGTGTCCCTCCCAGTGACCCCTTGGAGCACAGGGACACAAAGCAGGTCACAGAACCACTGAAGCGTTTTCCCAATCCTCTGTAAGGGTACAATCCAGGTCACTTCCATCCAATCTATTTTCTTTTTACTCCAAAAAGATTTCTGAACATTCCCTCACAATCACCAGTGCCTGACCCCACTCCTCAGGCTGCAGCTGCTGTGCTGACCAGCATGATTCTGGATGGTTTGGGCTGGAAGGGAGCTCAAAACTCACCCACTTCCATCCCCTCCCATGGCAGGGACACCCTCCCCAACCCCAGGCTGCTCCAAGCCCCACCCAGCTGCTGCATAAAAATGGAGTATTTTCCATTTCTGGTGAGGATGAGGTGATAAACTCCACAATTACTTCTTCTGAACATGTTTATCACAGAAAGCATTTTATCTCAGACTACACTTACAAAGTATGTGTATAAATAAGAGAAAAGCCTGCTAAAATTTTATGACTTTTGTTGCCATTTACCATTAAGCATAAACCTCCCCATGAAAGCTTCACTGAACTAACTACAAAGGTTGGAAAAGGTTCACACCATTCTTTCTCCCTGTATAAATTATAAGTAATATGAGAACATTTACAATGTCTAACCACGGTGTTTTATGTCAGACAAATGTCTCTCTGTACTTGCAGTTCCTAAACTGTGCTAGCAAGAATTGCCTTTTTCTCATTCTTTCCTCTCTCTCTGTCTCTCCCTCCGCCTCCCTCTGCACCCAGCAGTCTCAGTCAAATCTGCTTTTATTCTTCCATACAATTTTAACATCAAGAATGGCTCAGAAGTCAAGGCTCTGCTTCACAAAACAACATTGTTCTTTCTTGGAGAGCTTACCACTGAATGCTGAACCTTCCCAGGTTGCCTCTTTAGTGTTTCAATTATCAACTCTTCAGTTTTCCAGGAAAAAGGGAGAAAAACCAACAAGAACTCACAGATTTCAGCAATATTTTAAAAGGAGAGCTTCATTACATGGGACATCGTGTCATGGCAAAAAAAAAACCCAAAACCACCCAAATAACAGCAGGCAAAACCAGCAGCACAGACTGTGCATGGTTTTCAAGGGCAATCACCTGCAGTTCTGGGCAGACCTGAACAGAATTATGGTGATTCTGAGACCCTGATAAAGGCAAAGCATAAGCAAGGAAACAGATTCATGCAAAGAAACGAAACACAGGTGCTGCTACATCTGAAACAATAAAATCCTGACCAAAATTGTAGAATATTTGGCTGAGTTATCCTGTGGGTGAAAGATGCAACCCAGGGGTGAGAAAAAGAATTCGAGATCTTTGCAAACCAAATCCCAGTGAGTGCTTCTCTTCCTGTCTGAGGCCTTTCTTGAACGAGTCAGCCCTTGCCAAAGTGAAAAGCAGAGCACTAATTTCTTATCACTGAGCATAAGTTTCCTGGCAGAGTGAAAGCAAAGCCCAAGGTAGCTCATATCAAATTAGGTCAGATAACAATAGCTGTGGCTAACACTTGCTCCTTTTTATTTTCCTCCTCCCTGAGGTTTGGTACTGGGTAATTAGAAAGAAGGTGTGATGGAATAGAGAAAAAGAAATGAAATTCCCAGGGATTGTGAACATTTGGAGAGATAGGAAAGGCAAACAACTGTAACCTCAACCCCATCCCCTCACACAGCTTTGTTCATTCCTGCTGGGCTGGGACAGAGTTAATTTTCCTTGCAGTAGCTGGTAGAGCTGTATTTTGGATTTGTGCGGGAAGCTGTTGCTCACACAGGGGTGTTTGAGTTAGTGCTGAGCAGATCTCTGCTCCCACCTCCCTGTGAGGGCTGGGGGGCACAGCCATGCCCAGGGTGCCCCAGCCCAGCAGGGCACAGAGCTGGCAGAGCCTGCTAGGTGCCATTTGTCTTGGCCCAACACCTGCCTGCCCATGGGCAATGGGAACCAATCCCCTCTCCTGCCTTGCTGCTGGGTGAAGCTGCTCCTTTATCTGCTGAAACGCTTGATCTGAACTCTCTTCCTCTCCCCATCCCTCTGGGTGGGGCTGACTCAGCTTAAACCACCACAGACATTCAATACACACATTTTTCCTCATGGGTTGCCATCCATGGAAGAAGATGACACTAAAATGTGCCACAGAAAGCAGAGAGGTCAGAAATTGTTACAGAGCACTGCACAAAAAGAATCATTTCTAAGAGAAGGGTAAGGAGCTGTCTGACCAACTTACCTCTGAATTTTTTGGGTGGGTTGTTAAGATCACCTGCTTCTGGCTGTACCACACAGCGATCATCCACAAGGCTGCAAAGAAATGAGCAGTGCAGTGAGATCCCATCCCCTGCAGCCCCCTCCATCCTCGTCACAAAACCAAAGTCTTTCACTTGCAATATTTCATCCGAGTGGCCACTTCAGCAGAAGACATTCCCCAAATGCCAACTTATGCCAGGTCTTTCTAAGAAGCATGCAGCTAATTTTTACTGTTGCCCAGAGCTTTGCTCCTGGTAGGTGGGACAATAAAAAAGTCATTGCTCCTGTGTTCTGCATCATCCTTACGTGCCCTGCTCGAGGTGCAGACAGAACAGCCCATATTCTAGGGAGGTGACAGACAGCCTCAGGACAGCCCCTGCCTCTTGGACAGATTTGAGTCACGCTGCAAATGTGTTTGTATGAATAGAGAACAGGGAAATATGACAGCTATGCAAACTGGACACTGACCCAAGTACTAAGAAATGGCAGGAAGAGTCAGTGCCACAATAAAAATTGACTCCTGAGAGAAATGAAGGCACAAAGGTACCCTCCTGCTCACCAGCCGAGCTGAGGGATGGAGCCAGCCGCCTCCTGTTCTGGTAGGAAGAGGGGGAGCTGGACAAGCAAACCCAAGAGATTCCAAGAGGGAATGCCAGGACAGAGCTGCTGTCCCTGCACAACCCCACAGGGTCAGCTGAAATCCCACAGAATAAAGGGAATAGGTGGGAAGCCCCTGTTCCCACTGCTCTGAGCAGCTTTGGATCAAGGTGGAATTGGGCTTTTCCCAAACTGGAAAATTGCACCTGTAACCAAACACTTTGGGGCTTGATTTGATCCTAAATGACTCAATTGGGCCCTTCCAACCAATCTGTCAAAGAGGCTTTCTACACAAACGTAGAAAGTAAAACTCCAAGGTCAAAGGTTTGAGAGGTCCATTCTCATGCAGAATCAACTGGAGGAAGACTGAGACCTAGAATATGAGAGTTGTTCCTTGCAGAGGCTGCTCACATGCAGGGAGCATCTTGAGACAATTAGAGAAAATAAGGAAGTGCATGAAAATTAAGAGATCAGAGAAATTAAGAGGGCTCAACAGTTTTATGCATCTAAGATTTGCATATGCAAACATTCAGAGTGAATTGCTTTTTCCCCATGGATTTTCTCCCTACTCAGTACTATATATATATATATATTTATATATAGGTGCTCCAACATGAATGGTATTAACATTTGAGCTGCAGCACCTGCTTCTGGTGAACAAAGGGCCAAAAATATCCAGGAAATCGGTTACTCTGATCATCCCATACAGATAACCTCAGTGCAATGCATCCCTCTCATCTGAGATTAAGTTGAAAATAAAGAGGAACTTCCCAAACTAGTAAGAGGAAAATTTTACAGGGTGAGAAACACAAAAGAGGATAGATTGTACACCAGTAATCATCATGATGACAGCACTGAGTCTGGGAAACAGCAAGAGTCAAGTTCTGATTAAGCAACATGTCATAGGAATATTCAATAGGAACACTCTTCAGAGATTTAGGACAGCTTTAGAATGTAGAGTGAGTGGCATCTGCTCCTCAACCTTCAGGAACCACATAACAAGTCATTACACATGTTATGACATCAGACTGTCAAAACTCCACATGGGCTGGAGGACAATTACACCAAATCTTCCCTTTGCTGCTTTAATTTTCTCCAGGATAAAGACTAAATTAAATATGGGACAAAACTAATTTGATTACAGAGGCTTATTAAGATGATAATGCATTTCATGTTTCACATAGCAATTAGGATTTCTGGCTTAAATTAGGCTCAGAGATATGTGGCCATTACATAATGCAGTTACCTTAAAACAGCACTAACCAAATCAAAGAGGAGGCCTGAACACAGGGGGGACTTCAGGCCTGCCATGAGAACATCTCACCAAGCCTAGGAGATAACAAAGCTTGGGGCCTGTCATGTCCACAAGGACCAGCCATGGTGAAAAACATCTGCTCAGCAATGCCCTCAGAAGCCACAGCCACTGCATACTGTTCATGCACAGGACCCACATGGCAGAACAACTTTCTACTTGGCCTGCAGTTATTCACTGCCAAACTCGCTTCAGGACTGGGAGGAGAAACAATGGGCAGCTGTAGAGGATAACTCATGCTGCCAGTGTTCAGCAGATAGTATTTGGCCCGTCACACAGCTGATCCAGGGCTGCACAGTGCACGTGGCATATTTGACCAGGACCTGGGAAATTTGTCAAATACATTTGCCAAATACTATTCGACCAACCCTACTTACTACACCCCTTGCTTTTATCATACCTTCTCTCCTTTCTGGCAGCATCCCATATTTTCTTCTCTTTCCTATAATAGATCATGGTGCATCTTCAGTGACTGCTTCCTTCTCTGCCCCCTTATTTTCCAGAATCCTAATAGCTAGAGGACTAAACCTACAAGTTAGTTTGGAGTCACTCAGGAGAGACTGCAGCCCATCGTTTCCTGCCGAGGCACTTACCAGGATGGCTCTGTACCCTGCTTGGGAGCTCCATTTAGCAGCTGCATCTGGGCTGTAGGCATCAAAAATGTGCTGTGACTGTACCCCCCCTGAGGCCCTTAGGGCTACTGGAAATGAGAGAGAGCAGGTTGTGTGTGTGCCCCTCACTGCTCCTGCCCTGGGGAACAGGGGCCAGAGGTGCTCCTGGAGCTTCTCACCCTGCCAGGGCTCCTGCCCAGGCAGCACCAGCTCCTGATGCTTGCAGAGGTTCCTCCACATTGGGAGCAAACATTCCCTGGCCCTCCTCAGAGCTGTGCTCCAAGCCCATGGCTCTGCTCTGCCAGCTCGTGCTTTTCCCACGTGAAAAGCTGTTTTTGTGGTGGATGGAGCAGCATTCCCCTCTCGTGCTGCACAGCACCTGCCCCTGGCCTGGTGCAGGCAGCACAAAGGGGCAGCAGCTGGCACAACACAGCTCCCACTGCTGCTCCAGGGCTCTGGCAAAGCACAAGGGTCAAAACATCTTCCCCTTTGATAGGAGAAAAACAATTTTGTTTGTAGGAGAAACCTCAAATTAAACCTCAATTTTAAGGCCAAACTAGCTGTAGTGGTGAGTTACTGGTATTTAAACCACTTGGCTCGGGGATTTGATTTATTTTTTTGTTAGATAAATATGGGGTTTTGTTAGATATATATGTTTTTTAGAGTACTTCCATTGCCTGTGCTACATCCTTTGTGCAGTCAGCAGAATGCACTGGGGTCTGCTCATCCCTGACTGGGGAAGGGGCAGGGAGGGACAGGACGGGACACACGGACGGACACGGGACAGACAACAACATGAAAATCATTGGGTTGCATTCATTCCCCCCTACCCCTTCACCTGACAAGGTTTCTCCTCCCCACCAAGGATATTAAACTGCACCACAGCCATGGATACACTCTCCAACCTCCCAAAATCTACCTTGCCATATTCACTTCAGGCTATTTTTAAATGTAGGGCCAAGTCTATCCATAAAGCCCCCTTGCTTTAGCCAGTATTCCCTAGGATCAGGCTCAGGAGAGCTAGCTGAGCTCTGCTAGTCCTTCTTACAGGGTTTTGAATACAAGAGAACAGCTGTTCTTACCCCAAAGTGCTAATAAATCCATTTGTTGAGCCCTCTGCATAGAGAGAACAAATATCTCCAATATGAAGGAAGCTCGACATCTTGTCAGTCATCTCTGGCTTATTGCCCCTGGAATAAAGAAGAAAGAAGAAAGCACCACATGAATCAGGCAGAATTCCTTGGTGCAGCTACCAGGGGTTGCAGCAACAGGAGCCTTTGCCTTTGATTGTTGGTTTGTTTGAAAAACCGAGCAAGTTCTCACAGAGCAACTTCAGGTATCAAAGGAAACACAGCAGGCCAGAGTGCTTGCTTGGAAAAATAAACCAGGAAAAACAAGCAGCTCCTGGCATCTCATTGCACGTGGGACTGCCTCACAGGCAGGCATTCATCCCAGAGGATGCTGGATTTGAGTGCAGCTGCAGCAACCCCTTCCATCCCACCTGCCACAGGCAAAAGGGGACTGCTGCAGTTTCTGCCACATTTGTATCTAAATCACATTTCTTTGCCAGAACTAAAGGTTTAAGCATCCTTTAAAGGTTCTCCTTTGTGCTGGAATGGTGCTCCTGAGAAATTCCAAATATTGACCCGACTCATGGCAACATTTTTTGATAAAATTTGGACATGACACCAGCAGCCTCCTGCCTACACCCACAGGCCCAAAACCAAAATTAGGTGAAGACCCAATCAGCATGCCTGACAATAGATTTTGCATATAAAAAAGATTACGATTTTTCCAAAGTCAAATGCTTTATCAGACAACCAAATCCCCATGAAATCAGTAATTCTTCAATTCTAGGTTTAATATAGATGGCTTAAATGTAACACTGAGGAGACAGACACTGAGTGTTGCCAACTTCAGCGGTATTAAGAACTTGATTTTCTCTAAAGCCCCAAGTCCAAACAACACAGGATCCACCTGTCATTTCAATAAATATAGAAAAAATTTGAGTTTCAATCTGTCACAGCAACAAAGAGCCCAACACGAGCCCGGATAACAAACCCAACAGAACAGATTTGCAGAGACATCTTTCCCAAGCCCTTTTGCTGGTTTCCTGGACATCCTCCCAAGCCCTGCTTTTTGATCAGCGAGTTCAAAAGGCCCAGCAGCTCCTGTGTTTGAGGACTCAAACAGCCCCAAGGCTGCTCCAAGCTGCTCCTCCTGTGAGCCCTGCAGCCAGCACTGCCCAGGGAGAAAAGCACTGAGGCACAAAAGCTCCCAACACCTCCTCCCTCTCCCTCCATCACACCCAAAGAGGCTCTCAATGCTCCAAGAGCAGAAAAGGGGAGCAGCAGGAAATTCTGCTTATTCTAGGGATAAATACCCCCTTCCCTGAGCATTATCTTGTTTACCAAAAGGAGCAGGTTGTTAGGCAAGCTTGGAGCTCAACCAGGACAAGTTCATGGAGATCTAAAAGGTGATGTTTGCAGCTATGAAAGGGCAATAAACACCTAAAGTTACACTTTTCTTCTGAAAAGCTCCAAGCAGCTCTCCCTTCTCACTCCCAAAAGATCTGTGCTGCTGGGAATAACAATAACAACTTTCATTATTATTATTAAATCAAAGCACAGCATGGACATTCTATCCCTGCAAATCTGTGTCACTGGTACAATGAAACACAAATCCAGGAAAACCAGGAGATAAGAGGCCAGGCTGGTATGCAGGTAAAGGGGTCTCAGCTGCCCTGGAATCAAATCTGGGTGCACACAACACCAAACCCTTTCTTGGCTGCCTGTTAAATGTCAAGTCCTTCAGCCACTGCATGTTACACAGTCTGTTCCCATTCCTTCCTGATAAGTGGACAGAAAAACACTGCTACCTATTTTAAGCTATATGCCAAGAAACATACAGAAATATGCAGAGTGACTGAATTAGCAACACTGGGAATACAACTTTTCCCATTTCCTGACTTGGATGTTAAACTACCAACTTCAGACTAAAAAACTTTTCATCCCTCAAAATTAGGCTCAGCCCTGAATTAACACAGCCCAAAGCAAAAGCTGTGTAAGCCAACAAAACCCACAGGTACTCCCAAATTAACCCTTTCTACCTGGCATTAAGGTTTCCTTTCAAGGCTGGGGAGGGGATTACCCTTTCCTCACAAGAGGCAGATGTTCACCACAGCTGTTCCCAAGGGAATGTGAAGGTCAAAGTTATTGACTTCCATTAGAGATTTTTTTCCTTGGCCAAAAAAATAGAAAAAAAAATCTCAGACCACTGCCCAAAACCAGGCTGAGGGATGGACAAGCCAATTCCTGCAGCACTTTCCAGGACACAGCCTCAAATTTCTCACATTTTCTTCATCAACGAAGACCCCACTATACCGTGAAATTATAACTCTGATATATCATGATAGTGCAAACCTCCCAAAAATGCTCTTCTGCAAATTACTGACAATTCCACTAATAAAATGTTTGTCAGCTTTACCCAGAACCATCACAGAGTTCTGGATATCAGAAAGGTTGTGTCAAGCCTAAGTTCAATTCAGTGAATTGAACAGCTGAGATTTTCCCAGATCATCCCTAGAATTCCTGGCTGAGCCTGCAGGGCTGGGTTTGGGGTGCAGCCTGGAACCCCAGCCTTGCTGCTCCCACCCAGCAGAGCTGTGCTGGAGTTTGGCTTCACCAAGGGCTGATCTGGCTCCAATAACCTTGTTTCCCAAGCTCAGGCAGATTAATCACCGTGTAAGCCCTCAATGCCCCTTCTCCTGGATTTCTGAATGCTGTTCCAGCACCCATCAGTGTGATGCCATCCCCAACACACCAGGAGATGCTCCAGGGAGCCAATTCCCACAGGAGTGAGCCTCTTCTGAAACACTGATTTATCCTTGAGCTTTCCCATAGTCCTGGCTACCTCTATTTAATAGCCAAAAGCATCCCTGACACCTCTCCCTGCCAATGCCCAGCTTGGCCAGGGCTCAGGAGCATGCTGCACTGGCAGATGGAGAAGGGGCTCAGTGACCCCCCAGGCTGCCCCACACAGGAGGGAACAGAGTCACTGCTGCACTAATTCAGCTCCAAAGCTTTTCACACACTCTGCTCACAAGGGACTGACAAAACCACTCCAGTTCTGGCACCAAACACTAAATAATCAGCCACCTCAAATGGAGGCTTTTCCTACCTCTGACAACTGGGAAATGTGAAGCAAAAAGTGGAACTGGAAGGTTTTTAAGAGCAAAGTTCCCAGGTACCCAGTATTGAAAAGCTTTTTCTAAAAGATGCTGTCAACAACAGCTGGCCACACTAATCCTCCCAAAACCAGACCTCTGGGGGGTCATCTTTGATTATTTTCTTCAGCAGGACAAGGCAGAAGCGGAGGCATTAAAAACCTGTCAGCCTTGGCACATTTATCCAAGTGCACAACACAGGGAGACCACAGGGAC